TTCAACATATAGTATTTCAATGATTCTAAAATGCACATATTTACATTTAAACATCTGTGAAATCAGGATGCATCTTATAATCAATGATATATTAGATTCAATGAAATACAGTAAGAGAAATGCAAATTAAAACCACCTATCAGATTGGCAAAGAACAAAACACTCGATAACACACTGTGTTGGCAAGGGTGTGGGAAAACTGGCACTCTTCAAAGTTGTGAGAGTTTAAATGGGCACGGCCTCATTGGAAGGCAATGTGGCATGAGCTATCAATATGGAACACACGAACACCCTTGACCCAACCATTTCTCAGGATTGACCCCTCAGATCTACTGACCCTTATGAGCAAACACTTCAGTTCTCCTATGCACTTAATAGTAATTTGTTTGTATTATCCAAGACTGAAAACGACCCAACGTCCAGTGAGAGATGAGTTTAAAAATGCAGGTCCAGCCCTGGCCGGTTTGGCTCAGTGGTTGGAGCGTCGGCCTGCGGTCCGGAGAGACCCGGGTTCGGTTCCCGCTAAGGGCACGTACTTCGGTTGCACTTTGTCCCCGGCCCTGGTTGGTCGTGCGGGTGGCAGCCACTCGATGTGTTCCTTCACGTCGATGTTTCTCTCTCTCTCTCCCTTCCTCTCTCTCTCCCTGTACAAAAAATGGAAAAATATCCTCGGGTGAGGATAAAAAAAAAAATAAATAAAAAAAAATTATTTTAAAAAATGCAGGTCCATTCTGAAGTTGGAATGCTACACAAAATAAGGAAGCATTGATATAACACTGTCTGCAAAATATATTGAGTGGAAAAAGGCAAGGTGTAGAACTGTGTAAATAATAATCTATCTATTTTTGTGAAAAGGGGACAGGCATGCCCCTATGTCTATATAAGGGTCTTGTTAAAATTATGGCCTCCGGAGAGGGGAACCGAGGGCTTGGAGAACCATGAGTGGGGAGCAATTTACTCTTCACTCTAGACCAGAAGTTGGTTAAGTTTTCCTGTAAAGGGCCATGTTTGTAAATATTTAGGCTTTGCAGGCCATTTGATGTCTTGATCGCCTCTGTATTGAACAAGCAGCCATAGACATATGCAAGTGAGTGGGTGTGGCTGGGTGTCAATACAACAATATAATCCATACTAAAATTTGAATTGCATGTGTTAGGAAATCTTTTTTCCTCCAACTTTAAAAAAGTGCTCATGGTGCCCTGGCCGGGTAGCTCAGTTGGTTAGAGCATCGTCCCAATATGCCAAGATTGTGGGTTCGATCCCTGATCAGGACACATACAAGAATCAACCAATGAATGCATAAAGTGGAACAACAAATCAATGTTTCTCACCTCCCTCCATCTCCTTCTTCCTCTCTCTCTCTAAAAGTTAATTTAAAAAATTAAAAAAAAAAATACTCAGAAAAACAGGTGGGCCCAATTTGGCCTACTGGCTACAGTCAGCTGACCTCTGTTCTAAACCCTTCTGTATTGTTTGATTCTAATTCTTTACCTTATGCATGCATTACTATTACAAACTAATGTTCAAGAGGGGAACTTGAAATTTTAGGTTTATCAAAAGGGGGTGGTGTTCAAGTGGGGAGCGGTGCCCTGCTCAGACCCTTCTAAGAAGTGAGCACAGAGGGTGACACAGGACAGTCTATGGAGCTGGAAATCCCTCTTTGCCCTGCGCTGCCACCTGCCTCAATCCACCACCAGAGAGCAGCACAAATCCACCTAAAACCTAGCCATCCCCACATCAGCTGGGAAGCTGGGAGCAGAGGTAGACCGGCTGGTATCTGTTTTCTTTTTCCCAAGATATGCTTAAAAAATGGAACCAGCATTTAAAAAATCTGGGTTTACAGATCTTTAATTAATTAATGCATTTATTTATAATTGAATTTATTGGGGTGACATTGGTTATAAAATTATATAGATTTCAGGTATACAATTCTACAGGACATAATCTGAATATTGTATTGTGTGTTTACCACCCCAAATCCAGCTCCTCTTTTTTTTTTTAATCCTCACCCGAGGACATTTTTCCATCTTTTGTACAGATAGAGTGGGAGGGAGAGAGAGGAAGAGAGAGAGAGAGAAACATCGATGTGAAAGGGACACATCGAGTGGCTGCCACCCGCACGACCAACCAGGGCCGGGGACAAACTGCAACCGAAGTACGTGCCCTTAGCGGGAACCGAACCCGGGTCTCTCCGGACCGCAGGCCGACGCTCTAACCGCTGAACCAAACTGGCCAGGGCTCCTCTTTATTTTTTAAAAAATCCTCAACCCTAAGACATTTTTTTCCATTCATCTTTAGATAGAGTGGAGAGGAGGGAGGGAGGGAGGGAGGGAGGGAAGGAGGGAGGGTTGGAGAGAGAGAGAGAGAGAGAGAGAGAGAGAGAGAGAAACAGAGAGAAACATCAACACGAGAGAGGCACATTGACTGGTTGCCTCCCTCACAACCCCGACAAGGGCAGGGGACGATCGCAACTGAGGTACGTGCCCTTGGCCAGAATCGAACCCACAACTTCTTGGCCTGCAGGTGGATGTTCTAAACACTGAGAAAAACCGGCCAGGCCCAGCTCCTCTTTAATCAGCTGATGTGAGTAGCAGCTGTCCTGTGGGGGCCTGATGTCTCCAGGCCATCCGAGTTCTCAGCATCAGCTGCTGTTTCTCATCCTGCTGTGTTGCTGTTTTCCTATAGGGCACACATGTCTCACTGGCTACCAACTTCCTCCGCTCCCTCTCTCCATTGGGGCTGCAGGCAGGTGTTAGAGCACAGTGGCCCTGGATCAGATCCGCCCTGCCACCTTCCAGTTGTGTGACGGTGGGCATGTTACATAACCCTGTGCCTCAGTTTCCCTATTTGCAAATGGAGCTATGTGTATTCCCCACTTAGCTGCAGGGACTGCCTGATGGGACCCAATGCAGAGAGCTCTCTACAGTCTGGCACATGGTAAGTGCTCAGTAGGTACTAGCATTTCCCCTCCCCTGCTCCCACAGGCACTTGTTTGCAACACCCCCATCTCACAAACGACCCTCACACTCCCGACCTGACTCAAAACATACCTTTTTCTGTTTTTTTTTTTAGAGATGTATTCTTTTTTTAAAAAAAATTTTTTTTTCTTTATTGCTATATTAGAGAGACAGAGGAAGAGAGGGAGAGAGATGGAAACATCAATGAGAGAGAACATTGGCCGCCTCCTGTATGCTCCCCACTGGGGATTAGGTCTACAACCTGGGCATGTGCCCCAACTGGGAATCGAACTGGTGACCTCTTAGTGCATGGGTCGATGCTCAGCCACTGAGCCACACCGGCCGGGCCCTCTTTCTGGTTTTGAAAAGTATTTTTCCCAGCTCCTGGGATTCAAGAGCAGGGAGACCATCTGAGTATGAGGCCTGGCTCCGCCTTACTAGCTATGGGCAAGTCTTCACCTCTCTGGGCTGGTTTTTTTGCTGACTAAGGAGAATTAACATAGGTTGGTAGGGCCTGGAAAATCTCCCCAGCAGGCCTAGGAATGGGAAACCAACCCCTGCAGCTCCAAGGCTGCTTATCCGCCCCCTCCAAAGGGTTTGGCTGTTGACCCATTCCACTGTAGACTTGTTTTGATAACACATTAATTTTTCTTTTGGGAACCATCCCTCTCCTCACATCCTGTGACTTAGAAAATGTGGATCCTATCTCTGCAACTACAGGTGGACGTTTCAGCTCCAGCCAATCAGAACACTTCTCCACCAGTTCCCACCCCCACCACCAAGGTGATTGGTTCAGGGATAGACACATGGCCCAATCCTGGCCAATGAGAGCTTTGCCTGTGGCTTTAACTCCAACTACTGGGAAAGGAGACTTTTCCCACTGAGACGGCTGAGCTGGTCCAATGTCAACCCAGAGATAAATGAGAACTAGTCTGAGACCAAGTTCTGATGAGTCATGTGAGCCTGAGTCCTGCCAAACCTTAAGTCAAAACCACCTCTGAACTTCTCAGTTATATGAACTTATAAAATTATTTTTGCTTAAGTTGTAGTTTTCTGTAACTTATGAGTTGATGAATTCTAACACCCCTTCCTTTTGCAGTCTCTTTAGACAGTCATAAATTAAAGGTCTAGTGGAGGACAAACTTAAAGGAAAATGAAGTTATGGGTCACATTTTTAAAAAAGTGCTTCATCTGTGACTTTTTTTTTTTGTTACAGATGTTTCTCCTTTTTTCCCTATCTGTGACTGCTTTAAGAGTCTTGTTATTTCTCTGTCCTCAACAGGCTTTTTCGTCTAATCCTGTAGAAATTCTCTAGCCCAGATATTGACTGTAATGCCTGTAGTGTTCACTACTGAAGCACAGTGCCTAGGCACATAGAAGGTGCCTCATAATTATTTGTTCGGTGAATAAACAAGATACTCACTTGTCTGAAATGTCCAGTGTCTCCCCAATTGCCTCAGCCTGTGAGGTTCTGCATAAGAAGTCCCTACTTTTCCAACCTCATCTTCCACCTTCCCCTTGCTGGCTTCAGTCCAATCACACTGTCACTTAAAAGCCTCAAGTTGTTCCTGCCTCAGGGCCTTTGCACTTGCTGTCAAGTGGCCTCTTTCCCCACTTCTCTCCCTAGCTGGCTCCATCTTCCCCTCTAGGTCTCAGCTCAAATGTCACCTCCTCAGATAGCCCCACCGTGCTTTTCCAATGTGGTTCCATGCTGTTTGACTTTTTTTTTTTTTTCTAATCTCACCCAAGGACATTTTTTTTGTTCAGATTGAGTGGGAGGGAAGGGAGGGGGAGAGAGAGAGAGAGAGAGAGAGAGAGAGAGAGAGAGAGAGAGACATTGACGTGAAAGGGACACATCGAGTGGTTGCTACCCACATGACCCAACCAGGGCCGGGGACAAACTGCGACCGAGGTACATGCCCTTAGTGGGAACTGAACCAGGGTCTCTCTGGACCGCAGGCCGCCGCTCTACACTGAGCCAAACCAGCCAGGGCACTGTTTGACTTCTTGACAAATCAACATCTGAATGCCCATGTGCATTTATTTATGTTTATTGTCCCTTTCCCCAGGAGGTCATATCCACTAGTGTAAGTCCTTTTCTATTTAAGTTCACTGCTGTGCCCCAGGGTCCAGGTCAGAGCCTGGCACACATTAGGTGTCAATAAACATTTGCTGAAGGAATTAATAATCTATCTCATGACCTCCTGCAAGAAGACGATTCCTTACTAAATCATGGGTCCCTTCCAAGTGTTTGGAGCAGATAACAACATTAATTCACTGTCTCAGATGACAAAACCCCATCCTGAGCCCGGGGTTGGGGGGGGCGGGAGCTGGGAATAGGCTAGGGGTGGGTCCTCACCCTCCAGACTCCTTACCCGTCTCCCCCAGCCAACCAGGAAACACGAGGCAGCCGAGGTTAAGTAGAGTCTTGCTGCTTTGTTATAAATATATTATGTACATCCAAAACATGACGTTAAAATATTACTCCGTGTTACAGAAAAGATATTAAGGCTTTCTATTATTTACATTAAACAAGCAAGCACCTTTAAAAAAAAAAAAAAAAAACCCAAGAAGCCCACTGTTCCTTCTCTGACATACCCCTGGCTAGAGGAGACACTATGTCGCCTTTCAAATGATCAAAACCCCACTGCAGGGGTTGTGCCTTGTCAAGTCATCCTTCCTTCACTTAGAAACATCAACTCTGGCTGGAATCATGGGCACATGGAGGCAGGACAGGGGAGGAGGTGGGTCCAAACTTGGGCAGGGGATTCTTGCCTCTTCTGGCCAACTGCTCTCAGACCCTTGCTGCACTTTGCTAACCTTGAATGTACAGGCTGGGCTGGGGCTGTCCACCAAGGCCTTTAGGGTCAGTTTGCAGGACTATGGCAGGGCAACGCTCCAGGGACACTTAGGTGTGCTTGGGGCCTCCTAGGCCACTGGGAGCAGACAAGGAGGGACAGATAATACGACTTAATGGCCCCAATGCCAGCCACGCCGAAGGGTTGCTCAGTGGGGCTGGGGTGGGGGAGACTGGAGTGTGGGAAGTGGGTGAGCTTTCCCTCTACCCAAAGGGCTCTTTTTATTGTTTTTTTTTGTTTGTTTGTTTTTTGCAAAGTCAGGCTTGGCAGACAGAGCAGCTCAGGTAGCTAAGGAGGGGCCAAGGAAAGAAAATGGAAAAAAAAAAAAGGAAATGAAAAATCAGTGGCTCAAGTATTCTGTGTCACAAGGGTGGGCTGGGGGTGCCCAGGCCCAGCCCAGATGGCGCCCTTTCCACCTGGAGGGGCCAGCGCAATGAAGGCTGGAATTTGGCAGATGGCTTCGGTTTGGGGAGGCCAGGAAAGGTTGGCAACGAGGTGGAAGGCTGGAGGAGTTATTTGATCTTCTGGGCCCATTTCATATCATCTGCCCGAGGTTTCTCGCCTGTCAGGGCCTGGATGAGGTCCTCTAGGCGTCGCCAGAAGCCCATCTTCTCCAGAGGGTAGTTGAGCCAACCTGCAGTGGAAACAGGGCACCGAGCGGTTGAGTGCGAGAGGAGCAGTTGAGGGAATATAGGGAAAGAGCTCCTGCCTGGGGCAGGGAGCAACAGGGAATGGGTCTGCAGAGGGGAGGGGACAAGGAGTGATCAAGGAATCTGGGAACAGGGTCCTCCCACCAATGGGCTCAGGAGCTGCTTAGACATGCCTTCACACCCTCATTCATTCTCTTTCTTTCTTTTTTTAAATTTTTTTATTTACTGATTTTTAGAGAGAGAGAAAGGGAGAGGGAGAAATAGAAACATCGATGAGAGAGAATATCGCCTCCTGCATGCCCCAAATTGGGGATTTGGCCAACCTGGGCATGTGCCCTGACTAGGAATCCAACTGGGGACCTCTTGGTGCATGGGTTGATACTCAACCACTGAGCCACACTAGCTGGGCTTGGCATGGTTTCTTTTTTTAAATTTTATTTTTGTGACAGATGTTTCTCCTTTTTTACCCCATTGACACCCTCCTCCCCATCCCCTACTCCGTCCCCGGCTTTGTTGTCCATGTCCATTGGTTATGTGTACATGCATGTAAGTTCTGTGGTTTATCTCTTCCCTCCCCCCACCACCCCCTCTTCTGAAGGTTGTCAGTCTGTACCCTACTTCCACATCTCTGGGTCTACCCTATTCCTAAGACTGTTATGATCATTATATTCCACAAATAAGTGAGATCATGTGGTATTTGTCTTTTTCTGCTTGGCTTGTTTCGCTTAGGATAATACTCTCCAGGTCCCTCCATGTCGTTTCAAAGGATAAGAGATCTTTCTTTCTTACAGCTGCATAGTACTCCATTGTGTATATGTACCACAGCTTTTTTATCCATTCGTCTACTGATGGACACTTGGGCTGTTTCCAGATCTTAACCATTGTAAATAGTGCTGCTATGAACATAGGGGTACATATATTCTTTCTGATTGGTGTTTCAGGCTTCTTAGGGTATATTCCTAGAAGTGGGATCACTGGGTCAAATGGCAGTTCAATTTTTAATTTTTTGAGGTAACACCATATTGTTTTCCATAGTGGCTGCACCAGAGGGTTTCTTTTTATTTGGCTCGAATGCCACCAAGAAGCTCCCTGACCACCACTTGAACTGTGCTCCAGGCCTGTGGCGTCCCCTTCTTTTATTTCTTTATAGCCTTTCTGATAATGTAACTAATTAATTAATTCAGCACTTCCTGTGTTTTTTGTTATTGTTGGCTTTTTTCTCCAATCCCCAACTAGAATGTCAACTCTAAACAGAACTTCATGTTCTTGCACTGTTGATCCCCAGTGCCTAGAATGGTACCCAGCACAGAGTAGGTGCTCAAATCATATTGCTCACAATCTTATTTCACATCTGTATGACAGTCTCCCACCCAAACCAGGTAGATACTATCATCAGTCCCCTTTTCCACAAGAGAAGACTAAGACTTAGAAGTCTTAGAGGGTTTCCCAGTTAGCAGATGGCCAAATCAAGATCGATCCCAGGCCTGGTGAGCAGTTAACTGAACTCCCAAATGGCCTAAATTCTAGCCCCTCCACCTGTTCTCAAAAAGCATGACTTTAGGACATGCAAAAAATGTTCTTTTGTGGCTCTCAGTTCTGCCTCCAGAAAAACAACCCCTCCCCTCAAACCCCAGTAGCTTACTGAGTGCCTACTATGTGCTAAGGACTTTGCACCTGCCATCCTGCCGTTCACACCCAGCCCTGCAAAGGCGGTATGTGAAGGAAGTGGCCGCAGCCCCATTTTGTGGATAAGAAACACGGGATCAGGGGAGGCTGAAGTCTTCTAAAGGCACACATGGAGATGACAGGTGAACCGAAGCTGGCCTGACTTGATAGCACCTTATATACTTAATCTTGAAAGACACCCAGCTGGCCCTGGAAAATCTGTTTACCTGCCTCACCTCACCTCATCTCTCTGGTACTGGCCCATTACCAATGGCATGTGTGCATCCTTATTGTTCCTTAGTCACTCTTGGCATCTTTCTGCCTCAGGGCATTTGTATTTGCTGTTCCCTTGGCTTAGACTGAACCTTCCCTATTTATCTGCAAGGTACTTGCACTTATTTCAGCTTTCTGACCTCCTTATATAAATAGCCATTCCCCCTCCTCCACCCAATGCCTCTCTGTCCTTCACCCAGCTTTGTTTCCCCCATAGCATTTCTCAAACATGGATTTGTCATCTCCCCCATCACTCTGCCCCTCTAACCCTTCACTCTACCCACAATAGCCTCCTTGCTGCTCCTCAAACAAATGTGCATGCTCCTGCCACAGGGCCTTTGCACCCACTGTCCCTGCTACCTGCAGTGCTCTTCTTTCAGGTCTGCATGACTTTCTCCCTTAGTTCAAATGCCCCCTTCTCAGTGAGGCCTTCCCTGACCATTCTACTTAAAGGGCAAAGCTCCCCCTTTCCTTCTCCTACCCCCTGCTTTATTTTCCTCCATACCAGTTAGCATCATCAGATGTAGGACTTATTGTCTGGAATGTCCCCTATTAGAATGTAAACTCCTTAAAAGCAGGATTTTTGCCTCTTTTGTTCAGTGCTGTGTCCTAAGCCCAGAACACTGCCTGGCACATAGCAGGTGTTTAATAAATATTTGCTGGATGGATGGGTCGTTGGAATCACAACTCCATGAGGTGGGGAGGGAGTTTCTGTCTTGCTCATGGCTATGTCCTCAGCACCTGGAAGAGTGCCTGGCACACAGCAGGTGCTCAACAAATGTGTTCTGAGAAAACATTCCCACAGGGCAAGAGCTGCATGACCTCCCACTGTGACCTGTGCCCTACTGACCCTGAGAATGGAGTTGTAGGCAGAAGGGGGTTGGTGTCCTATTTTATGCCACCATATAGCCGCACCTGTGGTGATGCAGAAGTAGGTCTCGTGAGGTGAGACGTGGTGGATACGATGGTGTTTACGTGGCAGGATGACATGCCAGTCTTGCAGGAGGATGACCCAGCGTGGTAGCCCAAAGTATGTGTGCGACCACTTGTGGATCTGGTTGGTGAAGGTGGTGAAGATGACCAGGCAGAAGACAAAGCATTCCCAGGGGAACAGCTGCTCCAGGGCTTCTGCAAGATGGGGAGAGGGTGGGTACCCATTGGGCCCACATAATTGCCACATGGGGTGGGGATCCACCATCAGCCGGGCTCTTGCCACTTGCTTGGGGTAGCTCCCATCCCAGGTGAGCACCCAGGCCTCCTTCCAGCCTCCCCCGTGGCTCCAGGCCAGCGCAGACTGCCCTCCTCTGCTCTGTGGGCAGATACTGAGTGAGTATAGGTAACAGTTAAGAATGTGGGCTCTGGAGTTGCAGTGCTGGGTTCAGGGCCCTGCTATGACATTTCCTGGCTGTGAGAGCCTGGGTCAGTGACTCTGCCTCTTTGCGTCTTAACATCTTCATTAATAAAATGGGACCAAGTCTTCGTCCAGGTTCTAGAAGCACAGCCTGAGACAAGGATTTGGGTGCATGTAATTTATCGGGGGTGGGGGGAGTGAGGGAAAGCCTCTCTTCTGGAGAAATGGGAGGGACTGAGGGAAACAGGACGGGGGAGTAAAGATGGGGCAGGGGGAGTCTTGTCTCAGCCCAATCCTGGGCGGGAACCCTGGAGTGTTAATGGCTCCACAAAGTTGGTCCCACTCAGAAGTGAGGGGGCTGGTCTTTTGTAGGTGTTTCCTGTCACTGGCTTCAGGCTTATCCCCAGGGGAGAGGCAGGACCTGCCCTACCGGTTCTCAGAAGAGGCAGCTGGGACCTCTTAGCAGCCACCATGCACAGCAGCCAGGGGAGGCCCCACCCCTCGGGAAGAAGATGTGGGTGGAGCACCACAGCACCCGGTCCACCATCTACTCATCACATCTACCCACAGAGAGGTTGCTCTAAGGATCAGTGATGTGTCAAGTTGTTAGAACAAGACCTGGAGGAGAAATGACTAATTCCCCACCTGACAGATAAGGCTCAGAGAAGTGAAGTGATGTGCTTTGGGACAAGTGCCCTCCCTAAAATAGGCAGGGCAGAGATCTGAATGCGGGACTGTCTGAGTTCACAGCTGATACGCTTTCCACTAAGCCAGGGCAGCAAAATCAGCTCTCAGGGCCAGGCAGGTAATACAAATAAGCAAGGGAGGCGGGGTGTAGGACAGTAGGGAGTAGTGGGGTCTGTGGCAATTGGAGAGTGTGCATTCCTGTCTAAAGGTGGCAACCGCAGCTTAGCTCCAGCCCAGTGAGAAGCCAAGTGGGAACCAGGACCCAGCGTGGCCAGATCGGGTTGTTTAAGAGAAGCTGGAAACAGACCTTTATGTCGTGTATCTCAATTTTACATGTAGGTAGGTCACTAAAAATTTTTTAACACTATGAGGGGCCAAACACACACACACACACTCACTCACTCTTACACGCCCCACAGGAAGCTCACGGGTCGGGGGAGTTTGTCTCCGATGGGCCCCTGGAGGCCCACCACCAGCTGGCATGCTCACCAGGGCTCTGGGTATGGAACTTGTAGGCCATGTTCAGCAGTGGCAGCAGTGTCACCAGGCAGTTGTCCCCATTGGTCTCGATGAAGTCATGACGTGTAATGGCTGTCGGGTCGATGTGATGCTCCCGGAATGGTCGGATGAAAGCCTGGGGTGGGACAGGGAGGCGGGCATGGGCACCGATCCAGCAAGCCAGCCTCTGGTGGTCAGCCACTCTCCATAACCTCCTGCACACAGTTTGAGCTCACCACCTCGGCTGTGGGATGCTGTAACATTCCACCATACCACTGATGCTCCAGGCCCCACCCAGCCTTCAGGGTCCGGTCTAGCAGAAGACAGGTCAGAAGGACTTGGCAGGGACCTTGCTTGCGCTGGTATTGCCCCCTTTGGGCCTGTCTCCCAGCTTGGGCTGTCAGGGGTCTTGGAGACAAGCTCTGCCCTTTCCCACCCTAAGACAGTCCAGGAGGCCCTTACAGTGATAGGCAGGACCTTCTATTTCTTCCCAGCAACCAAGCCCTTCTTTCTGGTAACACCTTCCCCCTCTTCTCTTGGTACAATTAATTCTGATGGGGCTAAACCCTACCACTCCCCAGTTAAGAGTGAACATGTGACCCTTGGCCTGACCAAAGCATTCCGTCACTCTGGCCACACCTGGCTGAGATGGTCATGTGACCCAAGCTCAGCCAATGGGAGTGAGCCATGGGACTTTTGCTCCATGGGAAAGGAAGCAGTCTCCTTCCACTGGGGGTGGGTGCTGAGCTGGGAGGATGGAAGTCTTAGAAGCTGTGAGCCATCCTGGCCACCTTACCAGGGGGAAACCTACGGGAGTGTGAAGCCAACAGAGAGGAAGGCGGAGACAGACATGGAGAGAGACTGAGTTAGAAAATATGTACGGTCTGTCTGTCCTACTGGACTCACCATGCCTTAAATTGGCTTTACTGAACTTTTCAGTGCATGAATCAGCACCTTTGCTTGGTTAAGCCAGTTTGTACTGTCTTGTACCAGTCTGACTGGTGCAAGACAAAGTTCAGTGAAAGCAAACAAGCGAGGCACAGGAGGGCGGGCAAAGGAGAGTAAGACGTGGTCCCCAAGTCAAGGGGTTCTGGTGAGCTGGGCACATATCAAAGCTCTCTGACTGTCCTGTGCCTGATGCTTCTGTTTCCAGAAAACCCAGGGGATTCCTGTTCTAGTTCCGGAGGAGGGGCAGGCATCTTTCTGACAGAGGCTCAGGCAGGAAAGGGAACTCACCCAATGTCAGAGAGCCCACTCCCCTCCAGAGGAGACAGGCTGGGCTGGGTCAATGTACGCACCTTCCCCACGATGGGCAGCTCCACGGAACCCCAAGTGTCGGCTCCCCAGTGCACCAGGCCAGACAAGAAATCAACAATGACAGCCCCTGCAACTGTGGACAAGAACAAGGTGAGTGGTGACAGAGGACAGGGGACACACAGAGGGACATCTCCCCATCTGCCCACCCCAAACCAGGGAACCCCGCATTCCCTCATTGGCTTGTCTGCTCATTCACTGATTTGTTAGTGGGAAGGCTGTCCCTTCTCTACTTGGGTGCTTTCTTTCCTGTGAATAGAGCCTCAGGCATAATGCTCCTGGCCTCAATCTGGATCTGTCCCTTTACGGGTTCTGCCCCAGGGGAGATGCGGGGACTGGAGAGAAAAACTGGGCATGCTTAGATCAGCCCAACCTTTCCCTGTTTAGGAGCTGACTGTCCCATCTCCTGCAATCGCCCCACACAGGGAAGCCTACCCTGTTACAGTGTTGTCGGTGACTAGATGAAAATACCCTTTTGGGGTTTGGTGTCAGAAGTATCTTACTGGTTTATTTTGCTCAGCATAATAATCTCCAGGGGGACGTCTGTAATACTCTCAACAATGAATTAAAAAAAAGAAAAAGCCCTGGCTGGTTTGGCTCAGCAGTTGGAGCATTGGCCTGCGGACCAGAGAGCCCCGGGTTCGGTTCCCACTAGGGGCACGTACCAAAAAAAAAAAAAAAGAAAAGAAAAAAGTACCTTAGGTGCAGATAGACACCACGCTCCCCAATCCAACCTAGCTTTTATCAACAATAAATGTGGTAACATGGCATCCAGCAGCCTTTTGTCTTTGTTCTCAGTTGGTTCAGAACTGAAGTGAGATTCCCTTAGAGGCCCCAACACCATTTACCCAATGATTCAGTATGACACAGAGGTAACGAGCCTTAGACCCGGACTCAGTTTCCAGCCGGTGCTCACTAGCTATGCGACACTGCGCATGTTCCTCAGCCTCTCTGTGCCCATCTCCTCTAGACAGATGAGAAGGATGATTTTTAAAAAAAATAGCAGCTACCATTTACTGAGCACTTTCTTTTTTTTTGAACATTTTTTTTTTCTTCTATCCTCACCCGAAGACATTTTTCCATTTTTTGTTCAGATAGAGCGGGAGGGAGAGAGAGAGAGAGAGCGAAACATCGACGTGAAAGAGACACATCGAGTGGCTGCCACCCGCACGACCCAACCAGGGCCGGGGACAAACTGCAACCGAGGTACGTGTCCTTAGCGGGAACCGAACCCGGGTCTCTCTGGACTGCAGGCCGCTGCTCTAACCGCTGAGCCAAACCGGTCAGGGCTACTGAGCACTTTCTTAGTGTCAGACACAAGTGCCTTACATGCTGGATTTTAATCAATTCTCATAATCTGTTAGAAGACAGGAACTTCATAGAGACGGGAACTGAGGTCTGGAGAACAGAAGTAACTAGACTGATGTGGCAGAGCCGGGCTCTTAACCTGCCTTAAGGTCCAAATCTAACACAGCAGGATGAACCATCACCACTGCACACACGGGGAAACTGAGGCAGAGGCGCCCACTTGTCCAAGGTAACACCCCAGCGCCACACTCCCCGCTCACTGCATCTCAGCCCTCTTGGTGTGTCCCTTCCCTTGCATACCCCACACGGCTCAGGTCTTTGCATTTGCTTCCCCCTCTGCCCGGGAATTCTTTCCCGAGATGAAACACAGCTCACTCCTTCACTTCCTTTACTTCTTTACTCAAAGTCCTCCAGGGACACCTGGTATAAAACTGTACCCACTCTCACCTGCCCGCATTTCCTATCTCCTGCCTCCTTTTGTCCAAGCACCTGTCACCTTGGATTTCATTTTCTTTGTTTACGGTGTCCCTCAAGAATGTCAGCTCCACAAAGGCGGGGATTTCAGTCTTTTGTTGATGGCTGTATCTTGGTTCCTGGCACTTACCAGGGGTTCAGTAAACACTCACTGAATTAATCAGTGCAAACACTAAGTACAGTACTTGGCACCCACGAAGCCCTTGATACCTATTACTACTGTGGTGGTTCTTCCGTCATTTCGTCTGTCGAGCAGCAGCCTGTGAGAACCTGTGCTGTGCACCAGGCTCCAGAGCCAGAGATGCATCAGGCTGAGCTCACTGTCTCTGGCGCAAAGAGACACGAGGTGGGCAAAGCTACAACACGAAGGCAGTTTTTAGTGATGACAGGTGTAACCCACTGGGTCACGTGACTTCAGGCAAACCCTTTCCCTTCTCCTCCCTAGACTCAGTTTCTCTGTGTGAACTCGTTCAAGGCCCAGCTAGGCCATTTAAGGGTTCTTTGAGTTCTGCTAGGGTCCTTGTGACAAGGACCTTGGTGACAAGAGACCAGCACATTGGGCACTGTGGAGGCTGCAGAAAAGTCCCCAGAGGCCTCCCTGGAGAATGGGGGTCACGAGTGAGGGGCAAGCCTGGGCAGGTGGGTCACTGTGGACATGCAGTTCTGATCTCTGGGCCCAGTTCCAGAGGCCCTGGAGCCTCCACCCCACGACACCAAACGGGACAGATGGTGGGGAGGGGGAGACAGCTCTATGCAGGCACCTGCAAGGTCTTGGTGCCAAGGACAGGTGGGCAGGTAGGGCAAAGCACCACTTCCTGGCATTGGACAATGAAGGATAAGCCATAGGGTGACACTGTACAGGTGGGTGGGTTGAGGTCAGGGCTCAGCAGGGCCTCCCAGGGCTGGGCAGTCCTGCTCCTCAATGACAATGCTGGGAGGGTGGACCCAGGCAAGAGTGAGGGAAGCCAGGGAGAGGGAAGCCAAGGGCTTTGCTCTTGCTCTGCCTCTAGCTGACACCCCACCCCGCCCTCAAGATCCCCGCGTGGCTGGCCCCTCCTCAGCCTTCAGGTTCAGGGCAAACATCACCCAAACTGCCTGGTGAAAGCCAACCTCTCAGGCAGGTGCTCTTGGTCACGTCTCTGTGCTTTATTTCTATCACGGCATTTGTCACCGCCTGAGGTGGCGTCGTTTATTATCCCCACTTCTTGGATGAGTGAAGGGGCTCTGAGAAGTTGATCTCCCCTTCCCCCAGTCCCACGGCATGGAGGTGGGGGCCACGGGATGGGAAGAGGCGGGTCTGCCTGCCTCTAAAACCTGCACCCTTTCATGCCCTTAAACTGTACCTCAGTAGGTCCAGAGGCATTAACAGAGCTCCTACTGCATACTACAGGATGCTCTATACACACTACCTGTGTCTACCAGGAGGGACAAGAGGCAATGTGGCCAAGAGCTAAGGTGAATCTAGATCTAGAATCGGAAGCCTCATCTCTTGCTATAATATTGCTGTATGACCCTGGGCAATTGCTGTATCATCCCTGCATAGTGAGGAGTCAACTGAGGTGCCCCTTGAGGCTCTATCCCTACCGTTCTGATAAATGATGCCTCTAAATGCTGTCTGCGCTCGAAGGCAGCCCCCCAGTGGGTGACCTTGTGCCCCCTAATTTTCCTCCCACCCATTCCATGCAACCGCTGATCTGTTTATCATAGATTGGTTTTGCAGATTCTAGAACTTCACAAATATGGATTCATGTAGTATGTGCTCTTTTGAGTCTAGCTTCTTTCATTAGCATAATGCTTCTAAGAGTCATCCTGTAGCTGATGCATCAGCAATTCATCCTTCTTATTGCCGAGTCATATTCCATCATCTGGATGTACCAGAGCATGTTCATCCGTCTGGATGTACCACAGCTATTGGATGTCTGGGTTGTTTTCAGGTAGGGCTGTTATGACTCCAATGTCCGCGAAAATGTTCATTTGCAAGCCCATGTGTAGACATAAGCCCTTATTTCCTTTGGGAAAAGATGTCACCTATTCAATTACTTATATTTTTCTTGACATTTTTCAGGCACTTTAGGTACCAGGCCCTATGTCAGCAGCACCTTAAATGTCTTATCTCTTTTCATCCCTACACTGCACCAAGGCCAGTCCTAAGCGGGTTACACATCTTATCTCCGTAATCTCCCTAAGCATTTAATTCTTACAGAATGTGCAGAAATAGTAATAAAAACAATATAGACGGTCCCCGACTTACAATAGCTCAACTTATGACTTTTCAACTCTACGATGGTACAAAGGCGATACACATAATAAATGACATATGATATTTAATAGTTCATTATAAAATAAGCTGGGTGTGATGATTTTGCCCAACTGTAGGCTAATGTTAAGTGTTCTGAGCACATTTAAGGAGGGTTAGGCTAAGCTACGGTGTTCAGTAGGTCAGGTGTATTAAATGCTCTTTGACTTATTTTACCAGGATGTAACCCCATCCTAAGTCGAGAAGCATCTGTATTAGAAAAACAATGCTTGTGATAACGGTTAACGTTGGAGCCCTTCCTGTGTGCCTGGTGCTATGTAGGTGTTAAAAAGTGCACTATGGGGGGGGGGGTCATAGCTCCCCACACCTTACATATGGGCACAGGGACTTCCTTCCAAGGAGAATGCAGTACAGGAGGGGTAGGAGAGTAACTGCACTGGAGAAAGCCGACAAACACTACCTGGGCCAGACGGTCAAGGTCAGCGTCACAGGGCTAAATCATGGTGACAGCACACACCCTTGCTATGATGTGATGAAAATGGCACTTTACCTCTGAGCTCTTCATCTCCGAAACAGATTACCCAGTCTAAGAAAAACACCCGACAAACTAGTAGAAGGGCAGCCACTGAAATTCCAGGCCTCAAAACTGTCAAGGTCACGGAAAACAAGAAAAACCTGAGAAACTGTCACAGCTGAGAGGAGCCTAAAGGGACATGACAACTAAATGTAACGTGGATTCTGAGTGGGGTCCCTCGGGTAAAAACGAAGGCGACCTGAGTAAACTGTGGACTTCAGTTCGTAATAATGTATCCATACTGGAACAGTAATGATAACCAATGTGTGATCCTGACTTAAGATACAAGAGGCTAATAATAGGGGAAACTGGGGGCAGGGGTATATGGGAACTCTCCGTACTAACTGCTCACTTTTGTAAATCTAAAACTGGTCTTAAGATAATGTCTATTTAAAAAAATAAGTAGTATTTCAGTTCATGGCCACTGTGACGGGCCCTACTACTTCCCGACTTCCAGAGGAGGACATGAGGCTCAGAGGGTAAGGGCTGCCCAGGGCCCCACGGCGGCCGGGCCGTCGGGGCTCCTAGCACACGGCCAGAGACCACTGCAAGGTGTTCAGGATGACACTGAGCCTTCATGTCCCAGTCTGGGAAATGGGGATTTCACCAGTACGCACTTCACCGGACTAAAATCAAGTTAATAAGATGGGCTGATGGAGGTCAAGTGTGTAGCACGGTCCCTTGGACACAGTACGTGCTCCCTGAATGTAGCTCAGGTTAGTAGTTTGAATATTCCTCTCAGAGCCTCCGTCTGTCACCTGTGAGTGACCAGCGCTGGCCTTTGCGGCCGGCCCAGCAGGGAGGGATGTATGCTTGGACAGGTCAGGAGTCATCCTGGGAGAAGGAGCTCTGCCCGCCCTCTGGGAGGAACCGGCCCTGTGCTCCCGAGGCCCCTGTGGGTGGCTGTCTTTAGACTCCAGGCCTGCTGCCCGAGGCTGCTTTAATGGAGGCAGCGGTGGCGGGGGCAGGCACACAGAAGCTTCTTTGTCCCAGCTGCTGGCAGTGGCTGGCGGCTGGCTCGTCCTGGGGATGGCTTCAGCCTGGTTACGTCCCTCTCTCAGGACACTGGGGTGGGGGCAGGGAAGGAGTGGATGGCTCACTCCAGGCTACCTTGACTGACTGGGTGACTTGAGATAATCCCTAGGCTCCTTGGTGGGGTCCATTTCCGCACAGGTCACTCAGCAGGGACTTCTCCGTCCCTGCCCAACTCAAGGACTGGTATGGAGACAGAGTGGACACTGCTGAGGACTGGTCCAAATGGTCCTGGGCCAAACCCCAGCTTTCAGCTCAGAACCATATGGAGATGCCCCACATGACCTACCAGGCCCGCCGTGATCTGACCTCTGACCTCACTGCCGACCTTTCACCCCTGTGCTCCCTACCTAGAACACCCTCTCCTGTTGGTCTGCAACTCACAGGCCGCACCCTCCTCCACTTTCCTCGGTGCAGCACACAGCCCAGGGCTCCCGGGCTGCTCACTGGCTCACTCGTTCATTCACAACAGTCCTGGTCAGCTTGCTGATGACCTCCGCGTGGCCAAATCCAGTGGTCCCCTCACTGCCCCCAAGTCTTCTGGAACATCCTCCTCTTGCCATGCTCCCCACCTCTTGGCTGGCTCCCCTCCTCTCCCAATCTGGAAGCACCAGCAGCCACGGGCTCTGCTCCCACTCGGCCCATGGGGGTGCTCCCCCGCACCTGAGCTTCAAACACTACCCCCAGGTCCCCCAGCTTTCAATCTCTCGTTGCCGTTTCCAGTTCTAGACTGGGATTTCTGATTTCCTGCTGGACAGACCACCCGTTTGGCTCCCAGGCAGGCATTTCAAGCATCTACCCTCAAGCCAGCTCCTTCAGCCTCTTCCCTTCCATCACTTGGGCCAAAAGCCTGGAGTAGCCACTGACCCCACCCCTCTCGGCTCCACAGCCAATCTGGCAGCGTATGGGTGGCTCACCTTTCACAGCTCACCCCTAATTTGACACCGCCTCCACCGCCCGACCCAGGTCTGGGCCGTCTTCGCCTCCCCTCGTTTCCCTGCAGCATCAGTTGCCGTAAGCCCCCTGCGGGAACGGCAGCTCACAGCCTTTGCAATAAAATCCCCGGCCTCCTCTCTGTTCCCCAGAGCACTGGGCACACACCAGCTTCAGGGCCTTTGCACTTGCTGTTCCCTTTACCTGGAATACCCCTCCCCGAGACATCAGCCAGGCCCCCTCCCTCACCTCTTTTTTTTTATTTTTTATCCTCACCCGAGGATATTTTTTCATTTTTTGTACAGATAGAGTGGGATGGAGAGAGAGAGAGTGAGAAACATCGATGTGAAAGGGACACATCGAGTGGCTGCCACCCGCACGACCAACCAGGGCCGGGGACAAACTGCAACCGAAGTACGTGCCCTTAGCGGAAACCGAACCCGGGTCTCTCCAGACCACAGGCCGACGCTCTAACCGCTGAGCCAAACTGGCCAGGGTTCCCTCACCTCTTTCAGGTCTCTACACAAATATCACGTTCCCAGAGAAACCTTCCCTGGTCTCACCTCTTCCCTGCCTACTCCCTTGTCTGACTGTGCCTGCAGCATTGCACCATCTGTTTGCATTTCTTAACAGGGCACCTTTTCATGCTTCTGCTTTCCCTTGTTTCAAAGGCCTTGCAGAGTCACCAGAACCTCTGGGGAGATAATGCTGCATGGGGGGGAGGGGCTCTGTAGGCTGGTACCGTGTGGGTATTAACATACAAATCAGTGTAGCTACTTAAACTGATTAGTGCCTGTGTAAACACTGCTATCAGGGGATTGTCAGCTCTTATCAGCCCAGAGGCAAAGGTAGAAGATTGGGAAACTGGAATCAGATGAGCTGGCTGGATGGTCAGAGAGCTTCTGGATCTGGGGGCTGGAAACTGCCTGGTCCCAACCACGGAAGGGAGTGGTGACCTGCATGGGATGCCCACTGTCCTGGCTCAGACAACACAGCTAGGCTGAGGCTGCTGATCCTCTGCCCCAGCTGGGCCTGCTGTCTAGAACACCCTTTCCCCCCAGTGCCAACCGGAGGCCGTACATATTATATAAAAGAGTAGGGTGAGGGGCGGATGCATAAAAGGGCTGTTATTTTTGAGGAGTAACTGGGGGGGCTACCTGAGAAGGTGACCTCCGAGCAGAAACTGGATGAGGCAGTGAACTATTAGGTATCTATAGGAAATGTTCCAGGCACAGGGGGAAGCATATGCAAAGGCCCTGAGGTAGGAGTGTGTCCAGCACATGGCAGAGGCATAGTGAAGAGGCCAGTGTGGCGGGAGAAAGGTGAGCCAGAGAAGAGTGGAGGGAGATGAGGTCTGAGGAGGAGCTGGGGCCGGGCTATGCTGAGGAGTTGGTGTTTCACTCTGTACCGCAGGCCGACGCTCCAACCGCTGAGCCAAACCGGCCAGGGCGAGTTGGTGTTTCATTCTGAGTACACAGGGCAGTGGTATGACCCGGCTGAGGTAACAGGATCCTGCTGGCTGTGCGTGGAGAATGGAGGCAAAGGTGGAAGTGAGGAGACCAGGAAGGAGGTTCCTCCGATAGTCCAGGCGGGAGAGGGCGGTGGCTGGGCTCGGGTGGGGACAGTGGAGGTAAGGAGTAATGGTTGGATTCTGGATGCATTTTGAAATTGGAGCCAAGAGCATTTGCTGATGCTTTAGATGTGGAATGTGAGAGAAAGAGAGGAGCTGAGGATGACGCCCAGGTTTTTGACCCAAATGACAGGAAGGACACAGGTGCCATTGATTGAGACGAGAGGTGGAGTTCCCACAGCATGTACTGCACTAGTGTGCACACACACAAGTACGCACGTATACACATGTGCAAGTCACCATCAGAGGGGCACAGACACTAGGTACGTCCCTGGCCCCTGTGGAAACTGAGGCAGGCAGCGGAGCCGAGGGCACTCACCAACACCCAGCAGTACAAGGGGCGTGTGCTCCCAGCGGGCCAGCAGCAGGAGGTGGACCAAGTTGTGGGCAATGAGGCTGAAGCACAGGGTCACGCAGCACCACTCCTGGAAGCGCTTGCCTGCAGGGAGAGGGGGGAGGTGAGCATGTCGGGCAGCTTCTCATTCTCAAGCTAGAAATCAGGACCGGGGTGTGAAACCTCTTTAAATGTTGCCACAGCCCTGGCCGGTTTGGCTCAGCGGTTAGAGCGTCGGCCTGCGGTCCAGAGAGATCCGGGTTCGGTTCCTGCTAAGGGCACGTACCTCGGTTGCAGTTTGCCCCCGGGCCTGGTTGGGCTGTGCGGGTGGCAGCCACTCGATGTGTCCCTTTCACGTCAATGTTTCTGTCCCCCTCTCCCCCCCCCCCCCCACTCTATCTGAACAAAAAATGGTAAAATGTCCTCGGGTGAGGATAACATTTAAAAAAATAAAAAAATAAATGCTGCCACATATTCTTAATAGGCAAATAATCTTGGACAAGCTGATTCACTCACTGCAGCTTTGTTTGCAGCAAGAAACCACTGGAAATAACCTAAGTGTCCACAACCTGAGGGAATCAGCCAAATTAATTTGGTCCACAGCATCTCTGTAGCCAGGGAAAAGCCAGGGTGTACACATGTTAGAACATCCAAGACACACTGCTAAGTGCAAACAGCAGCCGTTTATGCAAATCAAAACCAAACACTATATAGTTGAGACTAGCTTTTCACTTCCTTTTGAATTTAAAATTTGTTAAAAATGTACTCACTCTATCAAAAATCTTCTCTTGTAATTTTAAATCAAAAATGTAAAAAGGAAAAGGAAATAAAAACAGCATGTGGGTGACACAGAATGTGTGACAGGGCCCCTGAGAATATTGTTTTCCCAGGCAGCTGGTCCCAAGGGTCTTCCAAGACCCTTAAAAATAATTTTGTTATCATTAGTGTTTAACATCTATTGAGCAGTTACAATGTGCCGAGTACCAGCTGAGGTGGATGCTACTTTGCAGATGAAAAACCTGAGGGTCAGACTGGTCCCAAGGCCACCCAGCTAGTCAGCTACAGACCAGGATCCTGTGGCCAGAGGGTCTGGCTCCTAAGACCCTGCTCTTACTTGTCCTGCTGTCCCTGGTCCCCTCCCTCCATTCCCTATCACCCTGATGGCCCTGACCACATTCTGGGACAGGATCACCTTACACAGCAAGGCCAGGCAGGCCCCTGTGAGCGATTAACCACTGAAGGGGCCAGGGCACATAAAGAAGTTTTCTCCTGCATTTGTCCTCTCCCTCTGTTTAGTGCTTTGTACGTGCTGTTTCCTTCACCCCTCTGCACCGGGCTGACTTTGGCCCTGCCGTTGCACATCTTGACCCGGAACGTCTACCTCCAGGAAGCCACCTGTGATTCCTCCTCTGAGCCCTGGGCTCCCCCAACATGGGTTCCATCACGTGGGACTGTTACTGCCTGTATAACGCCCATCTTCCCCAACCCAAATGTGAGCTCAGGAGGCCTGGGACTAGGTCTGGTTTGCTCATCAGGACACCGCTAGTACTCAATATATGCTTGTGGAGTAAAATTCCCAATGATAACCCTAAAGGAAAAACTGCCAGGCTTTGTCTCTGGGCTCCCCTCCCCAAAGCACCTTGGGAAGAAGACATCCCATTGTTCTTTTTTTTTTAAAAGAGACTCTTTAAAAATTTTTTTTCCTTCACTGATTTTAGAGAGAGAGGAAAGGACAGGAAGAGAGAGAGGGAAACATCGATGAGAGAGGGCATCGGTTGGCTGCCTCCCGCATGCCTCCCACTGGGGATCGGGCCCACAACCTGGGCAGGTGCCCTGACCGGGAATTGAACTAGCGACCTCTTGGTGCAGGGGTCGATGCTCAACCACTGAGCCACACCAGCCAGGTTCCTATTGTTTTTGATAGGGAATGAGGTGCAGAGGGGGGAACACACACACACACACACACACACACACACACACACAGGCCTTGTCCAGGTCACACAACAGCAAGCTACACCCTGAGCCAGAATCAGAATAGCTGCCCTCTCCTTGCCCTGTGAAAGACCAAGACTCAGAGCTCAGAGTGGGGAAGGGACAGCCCAGAGTCACATTCCCTTGGCCGTCTCATACAGATGAAGGCACTGAGGCCCAGAAATAGCAAGGACCCCAGCAGGGGTCACACATTAGCAGAAGGGGACCTGGAACTCCTGCTTCTTGATCAGGAGCTGTTTCCTTTGGGTCATATGGCCTTGCCACCCCAGTAACCTGCAGCTAAGGTCACCATGATCTGGCCCAGCAGGCCCTTCCCCATCTGGTTCCTCTTTGTGGCCAGTGCCTGGGGCTCAGAAGCAGAAATCCTGGGGAGAAGGATCAGCTGGAGGCAAGGGACAGGTGATTTCTCAATGCCCAACTGTCTGCTCGCTGCCCAGGCTACAGACAAGAACCACAGATGATACCCACTGAGGCCTACCACACCTGCAGTGCCAGGTTTAGCCCACATCAGTGATGCCACAGACCCATTCCCTCGGGCACAGTTTGTTCTCAGTTAAAAAAATTAACTATACTAAAAAAATAAAATCCCTATTTCCTGCTTCTCTTGAGAACACAGGACTCTGGCCGCCTTGGGGCCTGAATAGTAGTGGCTGCCCCATCAGAAGGGGGCACGAGCTCCCAGTTAACCCTGGTCCCCTCCCCTACGGGTGGCTTCCCTTGGTGGCGTCCCTGACCAGGCCCCTGCAGTCATCTGAGTTTTTGAGCCTGAGGCAGCCTCTCATTCAAATCTCAGTCTCCAAGAGAACCCGGGTGATTTCCCTTCTCAGATGAGGAAACTGAGCTCAGCGGGTAAAAATGAAGAGCTAGGTTTGGATCCTGGATTCGTGCATGGGACACGACAGCCAGAATGTTCGGGGCTGTCCTGATTCCAAAGACTGCCCAGCTCTCTCCCCACGCCGTGGAGCATGTTCCTGAAATCTGAATATTTCCCCATCTAAACTCTCTTTGGCCTCTGGCATCAGGATCCTTCTGCAGATCGAGACCTCAGCTTTGATCCATAAAAAATACACCTGCAATAATAAATGGCCTTCATGAAGTACATCTTAAGTGCCAGGTAGAGTACCAGGAGGGTTCCCTCGGCCAGCTCTCAATAGACGCCATAGATAGTTGCCCCATCCTTCTGAGGGAGAGACTAGGCCTGGAGAGATTAGGTGATTTATCCAAAGTCCCTCGAGAGTCACCTAAGTCACAGTACGGGCAGTCGGCCTGGCAGGGCTTGCATGATCGAGTGGTCTAAATGCTGTCACTTTCCAGATTGGTAGACTGGAGTCCTTGGAGGAAGGGCTTTGCCAGGACACACGAGCTGGGGCTGCCTCTGGCATTGTGGGGCCTTGTTTTTTTCAGCCACCCTGGCTGGCCAGGCCCATGATCTGGGCTGAGTTATAGCGGTGACTGCTGTTGGCCTGGGGAGGGGCTAGATTGTGTATGGTGACTGTGGAGGGCTGGGTGGTGCAGGGGAGGTCAGGAGCCAGGTCTCAGCCATCTCTGCTTTCCTGGGGGCGGGCTGCAGCCAGAGCCTTGGCATCAGGCCCAAATCTTCTCATTCAGTCAGACAAACTCTGAACACCTGTACTTCTGATGGCCGTTGGCCTCTAGGAGACCCTGGGCCTCAGGACAGTGTAGACAGGAAGTAGGGAGAAGGCAGGTAACAGAAAGAGACAGAGAGAATGACATGATAGAGAACAGGAATCAAGAGACACAGAGATGAGAGAGAAGAAAGAGAAAAACAGACACAGGGAGAGATTACCAGGAGACAGAATAAAAGAGAAACAGCATGGCCAGAGAGAAAGAGAAACAAAGAAATGGAAAAAGAATAAGATGAGGGAGGCAGAGAGAAACCTTGGCCCAGAGTGTGGCAGGGACCAGGCCTGGCCAGGGAACGGGCCCCAAGCCTCTGTCCTCTGGCTTTAGTCAGGCCCGTCTGGGGGACTGAACCTAGGCTCAGCTCTGGGGCTACAGGCCAGGAGCTCCACTCAGTGTTCCCGACACCCTCACCTTTCCCCTAACCCTGTAATAAGAGCCCTGGGTCCCTAGGGCAGGAGCATCTGCAGTTAGCCAGGGGGAGGTGAACAGCTGAGTCTAGAGAGCCCTTCGGATCACCCCCGGAGCACCTGAGAAGTGTTGTACACACAGGCAGGATTCGGCTGGCACCTGCCTCACTTGCTGGCTTGCCCATGAGGTCAGGGAAAGCCTGCCAAACCTTCACAAATCCTGGCACCTGGCACAGGGCAGCTGCTGCTGCGAAACTGAAATCCAGAGTGGAGTGGGCCATGGGTCTCGGGCTCCCGGGACCGGCAGGACCAGGCCCCAGCTCCCTGGCCAGACACTTAGGGGTCCATGGGATTGGGCCAGGGCTGCCTCACCCCTCGACATTCCCTCCGCCCCATGCCATGCTGATCCGATGACTCACAGCTCCCCGAAGACACCAGGACCACTCTCTCTGCTCCGCTGACCTGGAACATTGGTCCCATTCCCGCGTGCACACCCTGGGCTGGCTCACGCCCGCAGTCAAGATGGAGAACACGGATCCTAGAACACCCCCACCAGTGTTCTGGTTCTAGCCCTGATGCTGACTGACTGTGTGTGACCACAGGCAGGTCCTATTCTTTGCTGCGCCTCAGGAAATGTCAAGGTGGATGGGGTACTCATAAAGTGCCAGGCAAACTTCAGGGAAACCAAATAAATACAACCTCTGACCTAGCCAACTACTCTTCTGGTGCGGACAGGTGCAAGGCCAATCCAGGCAGATTACGGATGGAAAGAACACGTTCTTCTCTATGAGGAGGCGGCTGTGGGGTGGGGGTTGGGGGGATGTCTCAGTTTCCTCTCCTGTAAATGGAGTTAATACCAAGGTCCTCCTCAGACAACTGTAGTGAGGATGACACGAGAGCATGTGAGGAAAATGCCCAGCACGTGACAGGGCTGAAAATTTTTTCTTTGCTTTGTTATTGCTTACAATCGTGATAGTGTCTGCCCACTTCTAGCCCCAGGAATCTCAAGATTCTAGTCCTGGAACCCAGAAATGTCTCCTACTCTCCCTTTGCTCACTCTCCTCCAGCCCACAAGCCTCTTTGCTGTTCTGCAGACACTCTAGGCATGCTCTCACCTCAGGGCCTTTGCACTTGCTGTTTCCCTGGTCTGGACTAATCCTTCCTCGAATATCCTCATGCTTCCCTCCCTTCAGATCTCTATTCAAATGTTACCTGTGAGGCTTTAGCTGCCTCCTCTAAAATTCACTGCCTCAACATTTCATTTCTTTCTGCTTATATATTTGTCCTACAGGCTTTGTGACCACTGGGCAAGCAAGATATTTCCTTTCTATATAGGGCTTACTAAAATGCCAGTCCCATTTTTCCTTTCTTGTTCATTGCTTTGCCTCCAGCATCTAAAACAGGGGTTAGGACAGAGCTGCTTAGTATGTAGTGAGCCTGGCTGCTCATTTTATAGGTTAGGCCCAGAGAGGTCAAGGTATTTCCTCAAGGCCACACAGGGAAGGGACAGAGGGAGCCTTACGAAATTTGGAGAAACCAATCTGGCCAGTTTCCCTTCCTCCACTCCTCATACCCCCGAACTCCATGTTAGGAGGAGTTATGCCTTGACTGCAGGTTTGGGGCACCAGGAGGCTGTTTGCAGCCTCAGATCCCTGTGTGACTGTTCTTCAGAGAGTGGGGAACACTTGGGAAGACCAGAATGAGACAAAGATGCCATCATGGTGGAATGGGGAGATGGTGATCCCTAGGGGAGGCTCAGAATGCCCAGGTATGATTGTTAAAAGCAGGTAGGGTTTACTCGAGTGGGCAGGGATGGACACCAAAGGAGGAGGCCTTTGAATCCTTACCCTCGATTCCCAGGTGATGAATCTGAGGACCAGAGAAGTAAGGCAGCGTACCCAAGATTCACAGGAAAGGTCAGACCATTGGGTTAACAATAGGGAGTGCCTACTATATGCCAGGCACTGAAGATGATCTAATTTCCCCTTCTTAATGACACTAAGGAACAAATAAACTTTACCATGTATCTACTTTTTTTTTTCTTACAAAATTATTTTTTAATTTTTTAATTTTTTTGGTACGTGCCCCTAGCGGGAACCGAACCTGGGACTCTCTGGTCCGCAGGCCAATGCTCCAACCGCTGAGCCAAACTGGCCAGGGCTTTTTTTGTAATTTTTTGGTGTTTTTTTTTGGTATGTGTCCCTAATGGGAACCGAACCTGGGACTCTGGTCCACAGGCTGATGCTCCAACCGCTGAGCCAAACCGGCCAGGGCCCATGTACCCACTTTAGAGGAGAGGAAACTGAAGCTTAACAGAGGGAAAGTGGCTTGGCCCAGGCTACACAACTAGGTAACAGAGTCAGGACGCCAAGCCCAGCCTGCTCTAGAAGTGCAGGAGTTAGTCCATAGGGGTGTTCTGGGAAAAGGCTGAAGAAACTACAACAGTGTGGGCTAGGTACCTATGTTGGGTCAGGAAAAACAAAACAAAACAAAAACAACCCACGCAAAGCATGGGATTGCAAGTCCAGAAAGGTCTCTGTGGATCCTCAAGGAGAAAGCAAATGGCCCAATGACATGTAGCCCCAGTTATGGCAGAGATGGTGTGCAACCCAGGCCAGTCAAGCAAAAGGTGGTAGTGGACCCATGCCCACTCCAGGCTAGGCCTGTGCATGGTGGCAAACGTTAAGATGTCAGAATGCTTGACAAACAGCTTGGTGTGATGACCATGGTCAGCAGGGGGCCCCTGGCAGCTCCCAGTCACCTGACTGTAGAGTACTCAAAGGCACTTAATGCCTGGGGACACTTGGCCTTCTTGGGGCCAAGCAATGAGATTCCTGGGGCAAAGGAGGAAGTCAGAGAAGGGGTGGGGGCTGATGCTTGCTGGAGCATAAATGGTAGGCGCAGCGGTAAGCAGCCAGGGGCCTTGGCTTGAGAACAGAATGGGAGCAAATGTCTCTAAATTGTGGTCTAATGGAGGGGGCTAATATGTCCATCCACATGGGGGAGGGACAAGGGATGGAATTGTGGCTTGTGTGTGGGAGGAGCTTAAACTGGTGGATTTGCACCGGGCACCCCACCGGGAATTCCAGAATACCAAGAAAGGGGCTGAGGGTGCTCATTGCAGGGAGTGGGTGGGGGCGGTGATGGAGAGGAGGGAGGAAATAGTGGTCTGTAGTTTCAGCCATTGAAACTATAATTAGAATGGGGCTCTAGTGGAAAGGCATCTGGGGGACACGGTAGCTAGGGGCCTTTGCATTGGGGTTCCCATTGCAGGGGGTCTGACGTACCCAGATTTGGGGGCCGAGGTCACTGTTTCCAGCGCAGGGCCCTGGATGGGACGCAGATGGGGCCCTAGGGTGTGAATGCTGGATCCAGGGAACCTGGGAGGGGGTGTGACTTTTAGGGAGCCGGGCGCAAAGCATCTAGCTAAGGAGCTGCCTCTGGCTTGTACTGGGTTATGGGGTGAGGGTGTCCCTAAATCCAGCGGCGGTCTTTGCAGCCGCATGTGCCCGGGGGCTAGGATTGGGATCTGGGGGTGCGATGGGAGCTCTATTTGTAGTCCCGGGAGCTGATACTGCAGTTCTTTGATATGGGGAGTCTAAGCATCCAGAACGTCTCGGGACTGGGGTTCTGGCTTGGGCTTGGAAGCGGTGCTGGTACAGGGTCCCTAAACTTGCAACAGAAGTCGAGGCCGGAGTTCTGCATCCGGGCCTGAGGCTGGGGTTCCGATCCGGGGACCCGGGGTCGCTGTCCACAGCCCGTCTGATGGCTGCAGGCCTGGAGGGGGGCCCGAAGTTCCTACCTGGGGAGTAGAGCGCGGCCAGCTCGCGGGCCCCGGCGTGCTGCGCGCCCCAGCGCCGGCAATACGCTGCTTCGTCTTCATCGAGCTCCGGTTGCAGTCCAGGCTCGTCCTCGGAGCCCGCCATGGCCACTCGGCCCGCCCGACCGGGTGCGCTCTGCTAGCAGCGGCGGCTGCGGCAGCAGGGCCGCGGAACCGCGGCTATATCACGCTGTCCAATGACCGCCCAACGCCGGGGGCGGCGGCGGCGCCGGCGGGGGCCTCGCCCGGCCACGCGTCACAGCCAATCAGAGCCCGCGCCGGGGCTGCGCGGGCCAATCAGCGGCCTCTGAGCCACAGCCAACCGGGGCGCGCGGGGGGTAGTACCGCAGCTGGGCGCAGCTGGGCGCGGAAGCGAGGGGCGGCGGCGCGTCCTTGCCAGCCTCGCTCCGCCCTGGCCTGTGCTCGGGAGCACGCTTCGCGGAAACGCAGGCCGCGGTCCTCCACGTCGGTCTCGGTTTACTGTCCCGTGCAATGGGCTGAGGTCGTGCGCTGTTGGACCCAGAAACGGGTATTTCTTCAGCACGCACCGTCCAGCGCCTACTGTGTGCAAAGAACGCCAGGGCGCTGGACCGGGCCAGGGAGCCAGCGCTTGCTGGACACTTGGAATAGTGCTCCCTAGCTGGGGCCTGTTTAAGATGGGCGAGTTTATAGAGCTCTCCCGCGTGCAGATTCCGAGGACCGTGCGTACACCTGCTGTGTGCCACCTTATGCTGTGCACCCGGGAAGAGAAACGCCCGGCCTCCTGGAGCTCCTGTTCTCCTGAAGGAGAGAACACTAAACTGATGAGAATCACCCTAGGAGTCACTGTAAGATTTGGTGAGCTCTTAATCTCTGTTAGGAGCCGGGCCGGAGCTAAAGGGCAGTATTTCATTTACTCTTTTTTTAAAAAAAAAAATCCTCACCCGAGGACATTTTTTCATTTCTTGTTCAGATAGAGTGGGAGGGAGGGAGAGAGAGAGAGAGAAACATCAACATGAAAGCAACACATCGAGTGGCTGCCACCCACATGACCCAACCAGGGCCAGGGACAAACTGCAACCGAGGTACATGCCCTTAGGGGGAACCGAACCTGGGTCTCTCTGGACTGCAGGCCGACGCTCTAACCGCTGAGCCAAACCGGCCAGGGCTCATTTACTCTTAATAACCAATGGTGGTGTCTCTTCAGAGGCCTCTCCTGACCACTCTGCTCAAAGTTACCCCCTCCTCCAGTCACTGTGACATCACCCTGTTTTGTCTTCACAGTGCTTATCCTGGGCAATGAACTTGCAGTTCACATCTCCCCCATCAGACAACAAGCTCCTGAGGACCAGGACTTGCTTTGTTCACAGCTGAATCCCACCTCTTGGGCACATGATAGGCTCAGTAAATGCTTGCTGAACGAATTAAGGCTTAGTCACATGCTTTTACTACCTCAGCCGGTAAATGACAGGGGCAGGGTTTTACCCGGGTCTAGCTGACTACAAAGTACACAATTGTTAACATAAATTCCAAACATTGTCACTAAATGGGAGCCACCCTAGCGACCACAGAAGGACCCAAGGGGGAGCAAAGAAGGGAGGTAAGACCCCTGCCTTTTGGAGACTCCACCCTGCCCTGGTTCTCTGAAGTTTGTTTTTTTTTTTTTCCATTTTTTGTACAGATAGAGTGGGAGGGAGAGAGAGGAAGGGAGAGAGAGAGAGAAACATCGACGTGAAGGGACACATCGAGTGGCTGCCACCCGCACGACCAACTAGGGCCGGGGACAAACTGCAACTGAAGTACATGCCCTTAGCGGGAACCGAACCCGGGTCTCTCCGGACCGCAGGCCGACGCTCTAACCGCTGAGCCAAACTGGCCAGGGCTCTCTGAAGTTTTAAGCCCTGGATTCCTCAGCTGCTAGTCACCCTCGTCACCTTAGGTCTGTTTCCTCAGTGTCCCTGCTATGGGCAGCACCTGTCCCCAGCCAGGCCCATGCTCCCTCCCTGCTTCCTTCTCCACCTCCTTCAAGGAAAGAAAAGTTCATTTTGATGGCAGGGTCAGTTTTCAGTTTAAGTCCAGGTGAATTCTGGAGAAACTGGCTGGACTTGTCATTTATTGACACATTTGGATTTTCAACCCAGGAGTTTAAGGGCTGCTTGCCTTGGTGGGGGATGGTAGGGGATGGGAACTGGGTCTGAGATTTCAGAGAAATACCCTCCAAAGTTTTCTGCACATGTCCCCGACCTCCAAGCAGTCTGGGATGGCTGGTTACCGCTGTTGTCTGGTGTCTGGAACCCTCCTAGTGCCCAGCACCACTGGTGACAGACTAACAGACAGCCGGAGATCATTCATTCATTCACTCAACAGATGTTTATTAAGCATCATCCTGGCCCAGGCACTGTTCTAGGGAAATAGCAGGGGACTTGACAGGTTCATCCATGTTGTAGTACTTCATTCCTTTTTATGGCTGAATAACAAACATTCCATTGTGTGGATAAACCACATTTTGTTTATAAATTTAGTTAATAGACTGGAGTCATTTCCACTTTTTGGCTATTCCAAAATACTGCTGCTGTGAACATTCCTGTGCAAATCTTTGTGTGGACATCCATTTTCATTGTTCTTGGGTATGTACCTAGGAGTGGAATTGCTGGATCATATGGTAACTATGTTTAGACTTTGAGGAAGTGCTGAACTGTTTTCCATGGCAGCCGCACCACTTTACATCCCCACCATCAATGCACAAGGGTCCAATTGCTGCACATCTTCACCAACATTTGTTATTTTCCACATTTTTTGGTTATATCACCTTAATGAGTGTGAACTGATGATCTCATTGTGGTTTTAATTTGCATTTTCCTAATGTGGAGCATCTTTTCATGTGTTAGTTGGCCATTTGTACATTTTTTTGGGATAAAACATTTGACCATTTAAAGACTGAGTTATTTGTCTTTATTACTGAGTTGCAAGAGTTCTTTATATATTCTGGACACTAGACCCTTATCAGATATGTGATCTGCAAATATTTTCTCTCATTCTGTTGGTGATCATTTCACTTTTTTTTTTTTCTATTTACTTTTTTGATAGTGTCCGTTGATAACAAAAAGTTTTAACTTTTGATGAAGTCCAATTTATTTTTTCTAGGTGTCATATTTCCTCATTCTTTTTTGCAACTTCATTGTACGTTACTGTGTGGGTGGATCATAATCATTTAACTAGTTGCCTATTAATGGACAGACACTTGGGTTGTTTCCTGTCTTTGGATGTTATAAACCTTTTACATAATATTATTTGACATGTGAAGGTAGATCAGTAGGACACACTCTTGGAGTGGGGTTGCTGTGACAAATATTAAATGCCTTTGTTGTTTTGATAGACAAATCTATCAGGAGGTAGGTATGTAGATATTGCCATTGGAGCCATATGCTAATTTACACTCCCACCAGCTGTGTTCAAGATGCCCATTTTCCACAGCCTTGCCCTCAGAGTGTGGCTACTAAACTAAGATGAAAAATTCAATCTTTCAGTTATGCTAAGCACATTTCAAGTGCTTATTAGTCACATGTAGCTGGTGGATGCTGAGTTGGACAATGCAGACAGAGAACATTTACACCATTGCCAAAAGCTCTGTTGTGAGTTCTGGTAGAGAATTGACAGTGACCTTGACTTTACATTTTAATGGGATTCCTCTGGCTGTGTGTGTGGAATGGACTCAGGGATTGTGCTGAGGCAGTAGATCAGGGAGCAGATGACTGCAGTAGTCCAGGTAGGAGGGGATGGAGGGTGAGACCAGGGTGACTGTGCAGGTGGGAGAAGTGGTTGACTCCGGATGTGTTTGGAAGGTGGAGCAGCCAGGATTTGCTGGTTGATGAGATGTGGGGGTGAGGGAAAGTGAGGTGATGGGCAGTGGAAGGAGCCCAGCCTTTGAAGCTTGTAGTCTCATAGCTGTGTTTCTGAGCCTATGTAGGTCCATTTTCCTTCTGCTTCATGGGCTTATTGCAAGGTTCACAGGATAGTGAGAAGTAGGGTACCTGGCAGGCAGGAGACACTGCAGAGATATTTGTTTCCTCCTCTGGCTGTTACACTTGACTAGGTAGGTGTTGGAATGAGATCTACACCTTCACCTGACATTCAAGGCCCTGCTGACTCTCCAGTTTTTTGTTTTTGTTTTTTCCTGAAATCTCCTATTGTCAGGTGAGAATAGGGCCTTTGCACTCACTGTACCTGCTTCCTGGTTCATGCTCTTCCCAAGAGTCATGTGGCTGGCCCCTTCTCCCCCTTTAGGTTTCTGTCCTCTAGCTCCTCCTAGCTCTAAGACTGCCCGAGATGGACACCCCCAAGGTGTCACAATGTTGGAGGATGAAACCTTTCATGACTTGCATCATGGTGACCGGATTGCCCCATTCACTCACCAAATCTGAGACCTGCTCTGGGCTGGAACTTGTGTAAAATGTTGGCAGTACAGCGGTGAACAAGGCAGATGAGGTCCCTGCTCTCACAGTTGCAAGAAGGACAGGCAATAAATAGGTGAAAAGATACTCTAATGCCAGGTAAGGACAAGTGATGTGGGAAAATGAAGCAGGGTGCAGAGATGGTTGGAGAATGAAAGGGACTTCTTCCTTAGGTGGGGAAAAAGGGAAGGAATAACCAATCAGCACAGGGGATGAGAGCAGAAAAGCATGGTCAACAGTGATGACCACTTACTGAGCACTTTCTGTGTGCCAGGTCACGTTATCACCTCAGTGAATCTTCGCATCCTTCCCCAAAACAGTTGCTTAAGACAGCATCGACTTATTACTTCTCACAACTGTGTATTGGCTGGTGGTTTCTCTTCTGGTTTTACTTGGGCTCATTCATGCAGCTTCATTAAGTGTCCAGCTAGGCTTGAAGGTCCAATATGGCCTTATTCATACGTGCAGCAGTGGGTGCTGGTTGTTGGCTGGAGCATCTCTATTCTGTTCGCAGCCTCTCATTTTCCAGGACTGGCTTCTTAACATGGCCTTCTCAGGGTAGCATCCAAGAATCCTGCGCTCAAGAGTCTTATAAAGTCACTTTCTCACATTTTGTAGATCAAAGCAAGTCAAAGACCAGCCTGGAGGCCCCTTGTTCCTTATTGGCTCTCTTGCATCACATGCTCATTTTTTGACCAATCACTAGCAGGGGGATAAGATGACCCTTAGGTCCATCAGGGCTTCTCAAGGATCAAGGGTTGGGGTCACT